CTCAATTTCAGCATGTTGAGTACCATCTTAATGACCTTTCCTGCTAACTTAGCAGTTGTGCTTCCGTAGGCAGGTCACTCGCTGTCCTCAAGCCTGTCTCATCCTCATTTATTATTACTCACAAAGAGGAGTAATAATACCTCTTCACTACGTCATTCATTCATCAGGCAGCAAGTTCATGTGGAAATGTCAGGCACAGCGCCTGGTACGTAGTAGATGCTTGATAAACGTTCCTTCAGCGCCCGGTGGGTAGTGGGTGCTTGATTAACGTTCCTTCAGTGCCCGGTATGTGTTAGGTGATTGATAAACATTCCTTCAGCACCCGGTGGGTAGTAGGTGCTTGATTAACGTTCCTTCAGTGCCGGGTGCATAGTAGGTGCTTGATTAATGTTCCTTCAGCGCCTGGTGCGTAGTAGGTGCTTGATAAACGTTGCTTCAGCGCCCGGTGGGTAGTAGGTGCTTGATTAACGTTCCTTCAGTGCCCAGTGTGTGGTAGGTGCTTGATAAACGTTCCTTAAACACCCAGTGCATAGTAGGTGCTTGATTAACGTTCCTTCAGTGCTGACTGCGTAGTAGGTGCTTGATAAACGTTCCTTCAATGCCGGGTGCATAGTAGGTGCTTGATTAACATTCCTTCAGCACCCAGTGCGTAGTAGGTGCTTGATAAACGTTCTTCAGCGCCGGGTGCATAGTAGGTGTTTTATTAACATTCCTTCAGCGCCGGGTGCATAGTAGGTGCTTGATAAACGTTCCTTAAGCACCCAGTGCGTAGTAGGTGCTTGATAAACGTACCTTCAGCACTGGGTGCGTAGTAGGTGCTTGATAAACGTTCCCTCAGCGCCCGGTGCGTAGTAGGTGCTTGATAAACGTTCCTTCAGTGCCCGGTGCGTGGTAGGTGCTTGATAAAGGTTCCTTCAGTGCCTGGTGTGTGGTAGGTGCTTGATAAAGGTTCCTTCACCTCCTTGGTCCCCACCCAATGCTCGGTGCCGTGCTGCGCTTGCCAAAGGTACCTATGGATATATCTGATGCTGCAGGAGTGAAAGGAGCCCCACCAGGCGTCAGAGTGAGAGTGAGCGTGTGGGTGCGTGCCTGAGTAAAGTCCACTGCTTGAGGCCAGCATCCCGGCAGCCTCAGTTATAATATGAGACTTCAGTTGCCTAACATGCTCCCAGAGCCCAGCTGGCTGAGTCTATGCTCTGTGTCTCTCTAATCCGGTGAAGAAGTAGGAATTTAAGTATTCAGATTTTCAAGAAACCTCTTTCCAAGCTTCGTATGGCAATAGGAAAAAACGAGATCCACTGAACCTAGTTGTGGAGTGCTGTTCTCTGATCCAAGTTCCTGCTACAGTAGGCTCTCTCTAGCAAGAGTGCTGGCCCCCCAGCCCCGCCGTGGAGCATCACACAGAGCACACACTTCCTGCCCAGGCAGCAGAAGCCGGGCTCTGGGGACACGCTGGGCTCCGCAGTCTCTTCCTGTGGTGGTTACACTGGGTCCCGGAGGCGCTCATCATTTTTATGTCTTCAAACTGTCTTGTTTAGATAGTACCAGTTGAACGCCATCTGTTTTCAACTCTACCCAAGCCCCCTAAACAAAAAGCACAACAAGAAACAATTTTAAGTGTAGAGGGGTAACTTATAAATGTCCAGTGAAAAGTTTACCTGGAAACGTTGAGGTCTTATTTCTACTGATGGCTTTTCATGATGTTTGTTCTTCCAATGCAAGGCACTGTTTGTTTCCTTTTTTGAAAGAGTTCTTTGGGCCGGGCGTGGTAGTTCACGCCTGTAATCCCAACTTTGGGAGGCTGAGGCAGGAGGATTGCTTGAACCAGGGAGTTCAAGACCAATCTGGGCAACACGGTGAGACCCCCGTCTCTACAAAAAGTAAAAAAAAAAAAAAAAAAAAAAGTTTTTTTGTAATTCGCTGGGCACGGTAGTGTACACCTGTGGTCCCAGCTACTTGGGAGGCAGAGCTGGGAGGATTGCTGGAGCCCAGGAAGTCAAGGCTGCCATGAACTATGATTGTACCACTGCACTCCAGCCTGGGCAACAGAGACTCTGTCTCAAAATAAAAAAATAAAGAAAGAAAGAGTCCTTTGCTTGATCACTATGTTTCATTAGCTTCTCCTTGAGAAACAGGCCTTACCTTGAACAAAGGCCTAATTAAGCGCTTTTATTCTTTTTTGCAGGGAAAGGTGGTGGGGTGGGGGGTGGGGGTGGGTCTTGGGGGAAGTTGTCTAGCAAGCACCTTGGTGTGGGGTTTGGGCTTTAGATGGACCTGGTTGTCCCAGCTTTGAAATTTTGTGCAAGATACCAAATCTCTTTGAGCCTTTTTAATTTCCTCATCTACAAGGTTGTTGCGAGAACGAAGTGAGATCATGTATGAATAGTAAATGAGATGATGTATGTTTAGGGCCGGGCAAAGTGACCTGCGAAGTTCGGTCTCAGAGTAGCTGTCTCAGGCAGTTCAGGTTGTGACCCAAACCTTCAGTCATCCGTGGTGGATGACGGCGAGCATCAGCCGTCTGAGGCTGGAGTGCAGCGGTAGAATCGCAGCTCCCTGCAGCCTCAACCTTCTGGGCTCCAGTGACCCTCCTGCCTCAGCCTCCCTGGTAGCTGAGACTGTAGGCATGTGCCACATATTTTAAAAATAAGGTCACCTTTTATTGTTTTCTAGTACTTTAAATCCCTTTCTTAGTTCACTGAGCTGACTTAAGTTTAAAATCATGAATCCATTTGGCCTTTGCTAATACTCGTTTTAACTTGACCGACGGAGTCGTGACTGGCCAGAGTATTAAAGCAAATCAGCTCTTTCCACGTGTTTCCAAATGTGGACACGCACCGACCTGGCCAGTGACTATGGAGGAGTTAGGTGATGAGCGTGCGGAATAACACGCACCGACCTGGCCAGTGACTGTCGAGGAGTTAGGTGATGAGCGTGCGGAATAACCCGTGGAAGTTGAAGAAATCCCGGCCCCTGCTCGGTCTTGCTTGAGTCACTTTGTAACTGGTGACAGAGCACGTCACCACCTCCTTTCATGGAGGACTGTCATGTTTCGATCATGCTGATAAACTGTTTTGAGATTTTGAAATACACAAAGCTGCCAGCCTGGAAAGTAATAGTCATTTCTGTGGAAGAGCGTTGCGTCCATGGGCTTCGGGGCGTCAAACCCTCCCAGGTCACTGTGTCTCCCCAGAGCATGCTGCTCCGAGTCCTGCTGCAGAGCCCGGGAAACGCTGACAGCACCTGAATTTTGGCCTCACCCTGTGAGCTCATTTAAAATCACCTAGGATGCTCGTTGTTTGGATGGGTCAAATCTTCAGAATCCAATGGAAAAAGAAGCCTCTTGCGTAAGATAAAAGATAATGAGGAAAACATTTCACGTAACCAAAGCATTAGAGTATTAAGTCAGTTCATATTAGACCTTTCTACTGTTTCTTCATTGTTGGTTTCTGTTTCTTCCCAGTAATAAATTAGAGTTCTTTTTCCCGTGTGGAGCCTGGTTATGAAGCCTTGCATGAGACTCTTCATGTCTCTGGGCCTTGGTTTTCTTATCTGTGAAATGAGGATGGAGGTCCCTTCCTGCTTTCCTGTGGTTCTGTGTGTACACATCGCTGAAGCTTTTAGAATACAAATATCCACTGATTTGAAAAAGCATTAGGAGTCATTTGAGCTTCCCACGGCTGAGGACTCATCCACGTGCGATGTGATTCTTTTAAACAAGCTCTCTCAGTATTGAATTTTTCCTTTCCCCAGGAGCTCTATAAAAATAGTGTTTTCTTGCCAGAGACACTGGGGCCTCAGAACTACTGACCTCCTTCTACGAACATATTATATGATGTGTGTTTGGCTTAGGATCTCTTTAACAGCCCATCCAGCTCCACTGTGAGAGACTGACTCAGCAGAACCCCCCAGACCATTCCCACTCTTCGGGGTTAGCGTGCCCTTCCCTGCCAGCCTGGGGCAGACTGGGAGCTGGTGCTGTGCCCGTCTCCTGCACGCCGCCTCAGGGATGGCACACTGCAGCACTGCCTCCTTCTGTTCCCAGGTCTCAGTGCTGCCAAGTGCCACGTAGTCCAGGAATCCAGCCAGTTTGCTGTAGGTGTTTTCCAGAGCCTGTCATTAGGGCTCAGGTTGAAGCAGGTCTGTCACTTTTGTTCACAGCCTGTTCAGGGACCACCTTGGTGCTCTCAGCAATGTTCTCCCCCCTTCGCCTGACTCCCGCCCTGTTCCCCATGTCTCCGTCTTACCCTCTGGTCCACCTGAGTGTTTGCCAGAGATTCTCTTTCCCTTCCCCTTGTTGAAGTCCTGACATGATCCCAAAGGTTTTAGGAGTGTAAGATTCTACACGCATACCTCTTCAAGTGTTTTATTATGGAAATTTTGGAATATATTCAAAAGTAGAGGAAACAATATGGTCAGCCTCATGTACCTGCCACTCAGTTTCACGATCTTATCTCATCTGCACCTCTTCCCAATAACTTCGTCCCCACACGTCACATCATTTCTAGTTTTCTGTGTTAAAGAATCCCAAACTGCTCCCAGTTGACTGGAGAGAAAGGGGTCTGTGAATTCCCCTCCAGGTTTCGTGTCATTTAGCCCAGCCACTGCTCTCATCTCCCAGGCTGCCGGTCAGCTTGGGAGGGGGTGTTCCTCCCTGTCCTGCTGCGGTCCCCTACTGTGGGGCACTCGGCAGGAGAACAGGATCCTTTACGTGTGGGTAGCTTAGCTGGGAAGGGAAGGCTGTTTCAGGCATGACGGGGACAAGGCAGGAAAAGGAAAGGGCCTGGGTCAACCTCACTGTCGGGTCCACTGGACACACTTGTTTTTGTCCTGAGTGTCAGTCCCTATGAACAAATAAGAAATTCCCCAGGACAAAAGCACCTGATTCCTGGGATACCAAAGCTGTGACCTGATTTCCACTCCAGCCGCTCCCTTCCCCAGCAACAGGCGACACCGTTCTCCTGCAAGGGATTCAGCACCTCGTCCTTTCTCCCTTGCAGATGCAGTGGCAGAACGTGGAGCACGTTGGGGACCAGAGCCCCTACGTCACCTCTGTCATCCTGCACATCAAGCAGAACGTCCCCATCATCCGTGACAACCTGGCCTCCACACGCAAGTACTTCACTCAGTTCTGCATTAAATTTGCAAAGTGAGTCCTGGGCACTCTCATCTCTGGGCTCTTTTTTTTTTTTTTAATAGACTTTATGTTTTAGAACAGTTTTAGGTTCACAGCCAAATGGAGCAGAAAGTTCAGAGCTTTCCCGTGTACATGACCCCGACACATGCACGGTCTTCCCATCCCCGACACCCCACACAAAGTGGCACATTCGTTACAGTCGATGAACCTGCTTCGACACGGCATTGTCACCCGGACTCCGTGACGCCGTGCTGGACCTTCCCTGGGTCTGGACAAATGGACAGTGACGAGTGGCCGCCATTTCAGTGTCGCAGTCAACTAGGTTGTTTTTAAAACCATACTTCCCACCAGCACCCTCACAGTTTGGGTGTCTGCACCGTCCAGCGGGGGTTCGTTCTGGTGCCTGCAGTACTAATTTTAATACCATACTTCCCACCAGCACCCTCACAGTTTGGGTGTCTGCACCGTCCAGCTGGGGTTCGTTCTGGTGCCTGCAGTACTAATTTTAATACCATACTTCCCACCAGCACCCTCACAGTTTGGGTCTGCACCGTCCAGCAGGGGTTCGTTCTGGTGCCTGCAGTACTAATTTTAATACCATACTTCCCACCAGCACCCTCACAGTTTGGGTGTCCGCACCGTCCAGCTGGGGTTCGTTCTGGTGTCTGCAGTACTAATTTTAATACCATACTTCCCACCAGCACCCTCACAGTTTGGGTCTGCACCATCCAGCTGGGGTTCGTTCTGGTGCCTGCAGTACTAATTCTAATTTGTACACAGAAGAAGCTTTACTAATAGAACTAAATCTACTACTTAAAGTCACAGGCAACAGTAACAGCAGTACAGTCCCCAGCCACGTCAAGGCAAACAAAAATGAACGGGGCCTACGTTGTTTTGAACTGTGCAGGCATATGCACCCCTTGCCCAGGATTGGATGATTAAAATCCTTTTTCAGGGGTTCCCTGTATGCATTCTGTTTCTCTGAGTGGCTTATAAATGCCTCTTAAGGGTAGGAGCCATCAGTTCTGTTTCTTTAGAGCCTTCTTCCCCTCCCTCCCCCTGGTATTTTTTACCATGGCTGCTAGAATTTATCTATTAATACTTGGACACACTCTTGTTCCGAGGAAGGCACTAGAGATTGGGATGCCCAAGTCAGGGAGCTCCATGGCCAAGGCAGGTGAGTTCACCCTGAGCCGGCGTCTTCTTGCTGTGTCCTCGGGTGTGGCCATTTCTGCCCTGAGTTTTGAAGCGAGGAAATAGTTTGGTCCTTTGCCGATCACCATCTGGCTTAGCACCCTTTCCCGTGCTACCAGGTGGGGTTGCGGGTCAGTGTCTCCTCTGACCAGTTATCAAGCAAGCATTTTGGCAGACTTCTCAGGGAAGGGCTTCAGGACGGTCAGCCCAGGCCAAGCTACTGTATCTGGGTTGTTCCCATCCAGGCCCCAGCTAGCGATTCAGGACTCCACGTTTCTGTCTTCCCCAGATCTCCCCTGGTTTCCCTGTGCCTCACAAATGAACCCTCAGGACTGACAATTGCGGAGCGGCTTGTGGTGTCAGCTTTACTTTCTAGTTTGTCAAGAAAGTATTGAGTGGACTCTCCAGGGGGGCATGACTGTTTGCAGATGGCAGACGGACCAGGAGGTGGAATTCCCTCGCTCCCTGGGTGCCCATTAGCGTGTAAGAAGCGCTGCTGATAAATCACATTGTGACACTCCCCATAACTGCTGGAGGAAGCAGCGTCTCTGTAAAAATTTACTGTGACTGAAAATCTCCAGGGTGGCTGCTCTGGGGTCTGATTGAGTTTCTGTTAAGTGAAGGAGGAGTCCGTTGACTTAGCCAGTCCCAGCGCCTCCCAGCAGCAGCCTCACATTCTCTCAGAGCCCTTGAATTTCATTGCTAAGCCCAGGTTGAGTGTACTGGGAATTGGATGCCCATCCTCACATCTGGAATTGTTCAGCCTGGGATCTAGGAAGTGGTTTTCTGTTTTCATCCATGGTGCCTTCTCATCCTGGTAAAATGCTGCTTAACAGAGGTGGGCTTATGAGGAGACCCTTCCCTGGCCAAGGGCAGCAGCCACCACCGTCCTGATGGCCCAGAGAAGCCCTTGGCAGTTACCCAGCACACTGCTTGGTCGTCTTCCCACAGGACGCGTGTCAGGTCCTCGTATTCCCCCCACCCCACCTGTAGAGCGGTACAGACAGCCGGTTCAGGGGCACAGCCAAAGCTTTTTTGTTCTTTTCGATACAGGGTCTCACTCTGTTACCCAGGCTGGAGTGCAGTGGTGCGATCACAGCTCACTGCAGCCCCCATCTCCTGGGCTTAGGTGATTCTCCCACATCAGCCTCCTGAATAGCTGGGATTACAAGTGCTTACCACCCTGCCTAGCTAATTTTTCTATTTTTTGTAGACATGAGATTCTGCCATGTTGCCCAGGCTGGTCTCAAACTCCTGGGCTCAAGCAGTCCGCCTGCCTCGGCCTCTCAGAATGCTGGGATTATAGGCATGAGCTGCTGTACCCAGCCCAGAGCATGTTCTAATGTGAAGCAATCTAGATTACAAACCATTGTGTGCACAGTTGCCATTGGTCATGAGTTCAGTCTCACGTTACTTGTCTGGCTCTGGTTTCCAGCACTGAGGAATTCCTTCCAAATAGCCCCTTGTTTATTCTCCTTCCTGATCACAAGTCACCTCCAGATCCGATCTCCGGACTCCAGTTTCCTCTCCCTTAGCTTGCTTTCTACCCCACCCATGCAAAACCATAGATGTTTCCTTTTACCTCTGTTTGCTGTCTAAGCAATAGCAGCTGTTCCTACTGAGACATCAGAATCCATAGCCTGGTGGAAACTGCAGTTGAACCACAAGCAGCTTCCCTCATCCACGGAGCTGATCCTCCTCCATTCATCGAGGAGATGATGAGACAAATCTCACAATAGGGGTTGGGAGGGTAAAATGAGAAATCACATAGTAACTTCTCAGTAAAGTGCTGATACCAAGCTGACATTCAGAGCGTGGTAGGCGGCCGGGCGCGGCGGCTCACGCCTGTCGTCTCAGCGCTTTGCGGGGCCGAGGCAAGTGGATCACTTGAGGCCAGGAGTTCGAGACCAGCCTGGCCAACATGGTGAAACCCCTTCTCTACTAAAAATACAAAAATTAGCCGGGTGTGGTGGGTGCCTGTAATCCCAGCGACTCAGGAGGCTGAGGCACGAGAACGGCTTGAACCCAGGAGGCGGAGCTTGCAGTGAGCCAAGATTGCGCCACCGCACTCCAGCCTGGGTGACAGAGCGAGACTCTGTCTCCAAAAAAAAAAAAAAAAAAGTATGATTTATTCAGTGTGCGTTCACTTGAGCGTCTCCTATATCTCAGACCCAGCGTTAAATGCTTTGGCCTAATAAACATGGCCCCCATCTTCATGTGCCTTAACAGTCAGGTGAAGCAAAATGGACCTGTAAGCAAATGAGCATAATGAAGTAGGTTAGATGTGAGGGTGGAGGCCTGCGGACTCCATGGAGAGTACGGCGAAGGCAATGGAAGAAAGGCTTTCTAGAGATGCCGTTGAACAGGATCTGAGAGGTGCGTGTGTACTGACCCACAAGCCCCTTCTAGGAAAGGGAGGGAGCAGTGTAGGCATTAAATAGCCCCCAGAATCCTGGGATCTGCAAGCAGCTCGGTTGGGTTGAAGCCTAGGGAGGCCAGGGCTTAGCAGGATGAGACTGGAGACAGAGAATGAAGAATCAAGGAAGCCTGGCCAGGCTCAGTGACTCACGCCTGTCATCCCAGCACTTCTGGAGCCCAAGGGAGGAGGACTACTTGAAGCCAGGAGTTTGAGCCCAGCCTGGGCAACGTAACGAAATCCTGCCTCTACAAAAGAATTAAAAATTAGCCAGGTGCAGTGCCTGTAGTCCTTTCATCCAGTCTGATTGGGCCAGCTTCGATCGTATCCCCTCTCAGGACACACAATAGTCACCAAAGGAATGCCGTGCTCTGACCAGCTGAGAATAGTTAGAGTTCACTGGGGGTCTAAGATGGATGCGGTTTTCCCGGGCCTGCCGGGGCCTCATGTAACTAAACAAACCCAAAAACCAGGGCTTCGCTCAGAAGAAAAATAAGGTAATGGGTGCTGGTGGGCGACAGTGGAGTCCACTTCGATTCTTCATTTAAAAAGGTTTTTTCATGGAGATACGTGGAACCTTAAAAAAAGTTTTCGCATTTCTTTCCTCAAGAAAGAATAAGCCTAATTTGTCACTTCTTTTTTATCCACAGCTCCTTCATTCCCAAATTCATCACCCACCTCTTCAAGTGCAAGCCAATCAGCATGGTGGGAGCAGAACAGGTGAGATGAACTTAGTACCAGGCATTTGCCTGGCAGCTTTTGTTGTAGATCAAGCACATGTTCTTATGGTCCAGATCTACTTGGCAGGAATAAAACTGATGATGTCCCCTGTTTGAGGACAGTATGATGACTTACCCGGAAGGTTTCTTAATTCATTCTTCCGTTTATTTTTAAAAATTTTGTTTGAATGCCTACTGAGTTCTGGGTGCAGGGTATAACACAGCAAGCACCACAGAAAGGGCCCTGCTCCTAGTGCTCACACTCCAGTAAGAAGAGGTAGCTGGGCATGGCGGCTCATGCTGTAACCCCAGCACTTC